GGTGGAAGCGGGCGGGGGCGCTGGGGCGCGCGTGCTGGGGAGCCAGGCCGGCTTCCCGGCTTGCAAACCCGGGGCTGACCCGCCGGGCCTTCGGATCGGGAGCCGCGGCCATGGCGGCCCTGAAGGTGTGTGCCAACCCCCCGCGCCCTCGTGGCCCACCGGGCGGGCTGTGCCCCAGACCCAGGGCGCGCTCCGCCCCAATGTAAAAAAATAAAATCCTTGCAAGGACCTCCGACGGGGAATAGAAAGCCCCCCCTTGCAAATTCGGCCGCCGGGCGCTTCTGCAATAGGTGGGTGCAAAAGGGCACCGCTGGACTGCCCGCTTTGGGGGTGCCGCCTCCTGATCAGCCAGCAGGCTGGGTGCACGAACCCCCAAGACGTACCTGCTGATTTATTAATAAATGATAGACGTGCATACTGTGCTATTATATGACCGACGTTAATAAAACCTGCCTCCCCCGATAGGTATTTTGTATATTCCTATTGGAAGAATGAATGTAGCTTCGCTCCTTTCTTTAGATTTGCAAGAAAGAAGGAAATAGACCTGTGTTGCTCAACCTTGTCCACTTTAAGAGGGGTGGACTGCAACTCCCAGAATTCCTGGCTGGGGAATTCTGGGAGTTGAAGTCCACCCCTCTTAAAGTGGCCAAGGTTGAGCAACACTGAATTAGACAATGACTTGGTTTTGTTCCCCATTGTAATGGATGGCCCTTTGCAGAGCATTGCATGAAAAGGGGGGGCTTGTTCCCCTTAGCAAGGAGTTTTGGCATTTGAAAGCCCCCCTCCCTTTGCCCTATAGAAAGCCGCTTGTTCTCCCCAGAGTTTCAGCCTTAATTTCCTGGGAATTAGGAAGCAACATTAGCTGCCCTAGAGGATATCCGCTCTGGGGCTGGGCACGCAAAAGGCTCGCATTGCCCAGAGGGCAATTTCTGCCCCATCAAATTCCAGCCATAGGGGGAAAAAAAATGACCCCAAAGGGGACAGGCGTGGACCCCCACAGGGCTGCGTCTGTTTATGTAAAATCTCCAGGGGCTTCTCTGCCCCAAATCTGTCCTTCGGCCTCTTGGAGTCTTAAAGGAGTCTGGTTTTCCGTCTCTTGTGGCGCATTGATTGAATCAGGTATGTTTTGTTTAATGGGAAAGCTTTTCCAAGAAAGCTTTTACAGTCTTTTGTTTTTCAGTCATAAGAAAGGGAGTTATGAACACCCACTTTACGGACGACCCATAGTTAAGACGGAGCGTACTGTAGCAAAATTCAAGTTAAATCCACAAGGGTTTGAGTTAAATCCACAACGGTTCGAGTTCATTACCTAACAGGATTATACGATAACACTGTTCTGGCTTACATCCAAATTTGACTTAAGGATGGACCTTGGAACGGAACTCGTTCTTAAACTGGGCACTACTTGGGATCATATGATATCCCCAATTTGGGATTGCTGAAAGAGACTAATTTCGACAGCAAGGTAGATCTTTGATCGTTTCAAAAGAAAAAAATGGAGCAAAAGAAAACAATTCTGGGCACATTCATAAATTGAGGCTTTAAAACCTTCCTAGCCATTATCTTAAGGAAAGCTTGCAATGAGAGCGGAAGATTGATTGCCCCAAATGTGGGGTCTTTCCTTCTATCCCCAGTGGAGGCTGTTGCTTAGGGTAGAACAGTGTTTCTCAACCTTGACCACTTTAAGACCTGTGGACTTCAACTCCCAGAATTCCCCAGCCAGCATTCTCCCAGCCAGAATTCTGGGAGTTGAAGTCCACAGGTCTTAAAGTGGCCAAGGTTGAGAAACACTGGGCTAGAACAACAATTGAAGTCTGTGACCTCAATCATAGATTCATCATGCATCATATCAGCCACTGTGTGACCCAGAATGCAGGATTGAATCCACCCTAAGGTTTCTTCATATGTTCTAGATAGGTTTGGGGGTTCTTGAGTTCCTGCAAGCCATCGGGCTGGTTATGGATTGAGGGTTCTTTGAGAAACCTCCAAGATCGTTTGAATTTGGGCTTTGGGGAGAAGGGTACATCAGCCCATGGGTGGGAAGAAGACCCTGTTTTTGCTTTCTTTTTTAAAATATTTTGTATTAAAAGTTTTAAGTGCAATAATAAAAGATAATACAGAGAAAAAGAAAAACAGAATAAAATATTAACTTCCTTTTATTCTTTGTTTAATTTTGTTTTATATATTTTTAATGTATTTCACTGTGTCAGCTTTGTTGTACGCCGCCCAGAGTCACCTGTGGTGAGATGGGCGGCTATATAAATTGATTTAATTAATAAATAAATAAATAAAATGAAAGATCAAGAAAGCAAAAAAGAAAAAATATAGAAAGAGAAAAGGGAAGGGAAAAAAAAACCCCGAAGCGATTTCCCACCTCGCTTCCCTATCTCTTCACCTCCTCTTAATTAACAGATATAAAACTCTTCATCCCGTAACTCAACTCTTAACTATAAGTCAAGTCCTGTGTTCGCTTCCTTTTGATAGGTTGGGGACAAGCTACCCAGCGTGGAGGTCTATGAGGGAGATCCTTCAACTAAAGTGAACTTGTCCAGCCTCTTCAAGGGCAAAAAGGGCATTCTTTTTGGGGTGCCTGGTGCCTTCACCCCGGGTTGTTCCAAGGTGAGTAAGAGCCTCTGGGATCCTATTTCACCATCCGCCCCTGAGTTGGAAATTTGAAGACAGGAGACAGCCCATCTTCAAACAGAGCTCGAAGCAAAGTTTTCAGAACGTTCCTAATTCTGGCTCAAAAGTGGAAAGATTTATTCTTATCCACCATGGAGGAACGGTTGATGAAGATGATGGAACTCGCAGAAATAGCCAAATTGAGTTCTTTGATTAGAGAAAAGACACCATCTACATTTATGGTTGACCAGAAACCCCTTATGGACTTTTTGCATGAAACAGAAAAAAAATGAATGTACGATTTGCGGTTTGGATGCTTAGAAAAAAAATGAGCTAATAGGGAAAGAAGAGAGCTTTTTTGGTCATCCTAGAGCAAGAGGTAATTTTGTCACTCTACGTGTATTTCGTACAAAGAAAATCGGAAGCAGCTTCTGTTTCTTTCATTCGTTTTTGCACTTCTGTCTTTCTCTTTTCTTCCCTTCTCTTTTCCTTTCTTCCTCTCCTGTATATTCTTAATTTTTTTACCTTCTTTTTAAAACTTTTAATAAAAATTAGATCTATAAATAAAGAGCTATAAGTAAAGAACCTTTCTAATGTTTTTCCCCTCCCTTCCCTGCCGATTGCAGACGCATCTGCCTGGCTACGTGGAGAAAGCAGGTCAGCTGAAAGGCAAAGGCGTTGAGATCATTGCTTGCTTGTCCGTCAACGATATCTTCGTCATGAATGAGTGGGGCAAGGCTCTCCAAGCTGAAGGAAAGGTAAAAAAAAAAAAGGGGGGGTGGATGGGAGATTTTTCCTCCCCCTTTTTAATTTTTTTCCAAGCCTCAAAGCATCGGGAAGGTTTGCTATCAAGAGGGTTGGGATTCTGTCCATCCTTCGGGAGGAGAACTCTCCAAAAACACAACAGACCAACTTTGGCGCAGGGGCAAAAGCCGGTCAAAGAAAGGCTAGGTTTGAAAATGGGGAAGATCAGGCTGGGGGCTGCGGAGGAAAAAAAATCCAGAAAAAGTCCCCCCAATGTAAGCTTATGGGAGGGGCAGCCGGAGAGAGGCTCAGAATGCTACTGGTGCCTCTATTCGAAGCCCCCCCCCAGCTTTCCCTCCTGGTTACATGACACAGAAGTATTATGAAGGGTTGCAAAGAATTCCAAAACCCATGCTGTGCAGACTTTTTCACCATGCTGGCTGGGGAATCCTGGGAGTTGAAGTCCACACATCTTAAACTGGCCAAGGTTGAGAAACACTGATCTAACCATTATTATTATTATTATTATTATTTATTTATTAAATGTTTCAACCACCCATCTCCCCCCAATGGGGGAACTCTGGGAGATTCACAACAAACATTAAAACATAAAATATATAAATACATAAAACCTGAATTAAAAACATTACTAAAAAGGAGAAGGAGAGTCCAA